TGGGATGCAACGGAACCGGACTCGAGCTGGACTCGGACTGGAATAGAGTCAGTCTCAAGTCGGACTTGAATCGTACTCAATGCTCTTCTAATCCCGAATGATGGGTTGCTAAGGTTTATTGGGCTAGGCAATTTAGTGGTTTCTGGGGCTAAACGCTGTTTTCGAATTAATTGACCAGACAACCTGCCCAAAAGAATCAGAATTGTGGGGCCTATTTCTGCCTGGCTCGTAGCAACGGGCCATGCGAGAGAGGGAGAGAGTGATATATATATATATATCTATATATAATATATATGCCTCTGAATTTCCGTTGTAAGAGATAAGGTTGTCAGGACTATCTGGTTTGGCTCACCTCATGTGGCAATCGGGGCGTGGTGAGCCGTTGACGCTGGGGCTCGCTGAGGAGGGGCTCACTGTCCGGCTGGAAGAGGCATCGTGGCCATTCAAAGAGGAGCTGAGCAAACTCCGGTACCAGCTTGACAAAGTCGGACGAGCTGATCTGGTCAATCTCGGCCTGTGGCATGAGACCGAGCCGAAGGGTGGTGAGCAGGTCGAATGCAAAGGGCAGGCGGAGACTGGACGAATGTTGGACCCAGTTCTCGACGGCCGTGAGGACCATACGCTCTCGCAGGCAGTTGAGTCCGTCGTCCTCGAGGATGTGCTTCACGTCGTCAAAGTCCAGCTGCAAGAACTCGGCCGACTGGAAGACTTGACCGAAGTTCTCCAGAATCTTCTGATAGGCCATTTCTCCCACCTCGGGCCAATAGAGGCCCCGGCAGCTAATCCAAAGGGAGATGGCCACGGCCGGATCCTTCGCCATCTCCTTAATGTAAGCGGAGCACTCCTGCTTCAGATTACTTACGAGTAGATAGTCGGAGGCTATAAAGATTTGATAGACATTTTCAGAGGTCAATTTTGTCTTGCCCTTGCGTATATACTCGATGACGGAAGCAAATCCGGCATTCAGGAACTCTGGCAGTCGGATGTACCCACGGCCTTTATGGTAGCGAAGCAGTCGCTCGAAGTATATACTCTGTTCGGCTATCTCCACGGCAACAATGCTACAAATATCGCCGGACTCCATAAACTCTACGGCCCTATCGCACAAAAAGTCCGCGTCGCTGTCCAGCGAGTTCAAGTGCTTCTCAATTTTGGCGCAATTAAAAGGGACGCTGGAATTCCTCCTCCGAGCACTGACGGGTTCGTTGGAGGCGCGACGGCCTTCACGATGCCGAACATCGCTGGTCGGTCGCCGCATGACATTTGGGTGTGCTTCCTAAAAACCGCTCTTGGCAGGCGGGCAGAATCACGTTTTCGCCTCTGGAACTTGCTCAAAGAGCCATTCTCGAAGCAGCTGAGCTCGATCGATCGGGAGGCGGCTTCAAACGCCCTCTCTTCTGACCGGTCCCGGGCGCCTGTAGAACTAGGCCCTGCGCCTCGGACCAGTCCGAGTCCTGTTCGAGTCCGGTTTAGGTCCCACTTGAGACTGACTTTATTACTGTCCGAGTCCAGCTCGAGTCCGGCTCCTTTGCATCCCACGTCTGGCATGTGTTGGGTTTAAGCCCAGCCTACGTCTAGAATGAGCACAGCCCAGATCCACCTCGAATCAAGACTAAGTATGATTCGAGTCCGATCCAAATCCAGCCTCGAAACTAGTATGAATCCAACCTAAAGCTGGTTTTACTCCATACATAGTTTCACTCAGATCCAGCCCG